TTCTTCGCTCACAGCGTAATGTCACGTGTATGTCATTAAGGCAGAAGAATGTTAGTTTTCAATAGCGTTTGTAACGTGTACGATATATTACTAAAAGTAAAATTGACGTGATAAAAGAACTTGGTACTGTGCCTATCAAATGTGGACAACGTGAGCAGACGTTTTCATTCCTAATCGCATAAATAATTAATAATATGACGTAGTGCTCTGTGACGTCAATTGAACAAACGCTATTGTTTTCTTACTCGGCTCAACTCAAATTATGAATTCAAATACCAATTAGGTTTCGGTTTGAATTACAAAAAAAAAATGACACACTACGTACCCATTGTAATTGACCCCTACGTTAACTTAGTTAGTACAAAGAAGTCTCAACTTGTCTTCGTTTAGAGAACAATTTGTTATTAAACACTATGTAGATGTCGATGCCAAAAGCGGGGTGTCAACGATTTGGGATCTATTTGTATAAAAACCTCTTGTTTTTCGTCAGTTATTTGATTAACAAGGATTAATGCCTTTTTGTGATTTCATTTGCTTTTTCAGAGTAATGTAGTTTTATGTTGCTATGCCAAAGGCAATTTACTCAAGCAATATCATGCATAATCCCCTGGCACAGATAAAACGAGATTACTAGAGCTGTTTAACGTTTATTATTACATCCCCAGTAATTGCAAAAACAGATCACCATTTCCATTTTCTATTTTTCCATTCCACAAGGGGTAATTTGCTTAAATAATTATGATAAATCACCACATGACGTGATGGTGTTACGTAATATTGGATAAAAAACATATGCTATTTTTACTTTTTTTATTGTATTACACGTGATATCACTTGTTCGTGGAGATGATTGATGGGAGTGACTGCATGGGCTGGTATTATGCACGCGCCGTTGGTCACGAGTATCAAGTTGGCGTAATAAGTGGTATTATGTGAAAACTTTGTTAAATATCATACACACCAGTGACGCTCACGAATCGTATGATAATTTATGGTTATTATGCGTGACGTCTAATCGCGTTTGGCGGTTCTCTAGTTACGGCCACCGATGTTAGGTTATCGCACAATAACTTTGCATTATGTCATAAATAAATACAATATGTGAGAGGTCCTAAAACCGTTTTATTGGTTTTTAAATTAGATCCGTAATACCCTTTGTTTATTCTTAGAAACTGTCATGATGATCAATAACTATGTTGAAGGTTGAATATTAAACGGATGGTCGTCGGTGCCCAGGTCTGTTGTTGTGTGTTACATTAACATATATCTGAGCAGTGTACTGAAATATCATACACAGAACTGAAATTAATAATTTTGAATTATAACATTGAGTTGATATAATGGAAACATTAAAAAGTACGTCATTGTTTGACGAAAATGTTCACAGCTTGTCATAATATATAAACGTTTGCCGGATATGAACATAATTCGTAAGTCATGCTCATTGGTTACAAGTCACAGCCGTGCCTCTATAATTAGAGCTACAATATCTGCTCATTAGATTAGATTAACGCGCGTTGCATATTAGTTGTCATAGTGACGTGATTAATTGACACACCAGCATGATCATTTATTGGGCTATTTCTTTTTAATCTCCCAGAAGGTCTTCAATCGTGATGATCTATCTCTAGTTTCGCTTTAAATTAGGTATTAGGCGCACAAGGAATTAATTCACCAAGATACGCAATCCATAGTTCCGCCAGGCACCTTGTTCAATATATTTGAGTATGTTGTTATCAATAATCCAAATGACAAGACATTATAGCGAGCCTAGCGACATCGTAATGAAGCAGTTCGTTCTTTTTCCATTTCAATCAGAATGGCTAATGACACTACGTAAAGAAGTGTCACGTTGTACGTCGTCTTATCTTAATCCAATGATTACTGCTGCTCCATTATCACTTTGTAGAACCAACTTACCTAATAATATGACACTATACATTACTCACATTATGCCTAAATGTACTATATGTTGGCTTCTAGTGTGTGTGTGGAATTTTGTTCGATGACGCCAGCAGCTAACAGGCTTGTTGCAGTTGGACCATGACTTGCACGGTCACTGTTTTTACAAACAAATTAGCGAGTCGAACGAATGAACAATCAAATATTTACCGGACATACAGTGTTGTGATGAACGTATATTTGAAGAACCGTTTTTAGTGTGGCTGTATTAGAAACACTCACTGCGAACAAGACAACGGATTACCTGCCGAACGTGATACGTGATACTAATGACAAAATCAAAATCATAAAGATCCATATTTGCAAAAAAAGGATTCAACGGTTAATAGGCTATTGCGTAATCGATATCTTTTGATTTTAATATTACACAGGATGATATATCCAGTTTATTATTTGTTCATATTATAAGGCATACATAATAACTGTGTATTTTAATGTGAATCAGCATTGTTTACTGACAGATAAAAGATAAAACTTATTCACTAACCTGCCACACAAACAATATGTACATCTAATTTAGGTTAGATATTGTTATAATCACAGTCTGCATAGCAGGGGGATGAGAAAGAGTCATGTCTTTTGATAGACCACGATTCTCGTAATTAATTATGCTGTATACTGCGCGTTCTAGATTTCGTATACAAAGTCTAGGGCTAACACGCTCTTCATGGAACATGAAGATTAGATGAGCGAGGCGCATGACTCAACCAATTTTACTTTATGGGGCATTACCAACTATTTCCGCATATAATCAGAGCGAAAACATCACTATCAACATTGATCACAGTCGTCTATTGAAGTTGATAATCAACACAAATGTTAAATAGTACAGAACTAAATGTTCAATAAAACAAATCATGGATCAGAGCTTCAGATGATATAAAATAGGAAGTTTTGACATGTATTGTTCTGAAAATCACTTCATTTCACAATTTAGTTTGCAAATTATTATGCACATAACACCGGTAATGAAGTGTTCAGACAGATATTTCATAAATATCGACAACTACTTTATTATCATCATACTGCGCAATAGTTGCACATAATGAACTGTTGTGGTTTAACCCAAATTTCCAAACAACAACGATTTGGAAAACGTTACATCAAACATTCTGATTTATTCTGTTCTTATTCTGATTCGCCTGTGTTTCCTATTCCCGTATATGGAGTATATATTACAATGCTGTCGAAACACGTGTATAATTCTGTTAGCGCAATGAGACGATTCATAATACCATGTACAATACGAGATGTCTTCCATCTATGTTGCTGTCAACCGACTTACTGAACACACATTGAACTTCTGTCAATTAATAATACTACTTAAATAAACATCAAAAAACTGTTGTGTTGGGCTGGATATGGTGTTGTAAAGTCTGTCACAAAGTAAAGAATTATTTGGGAAGGCTTAAACTTTGGCTTCTATTTGGTGTATCTATAATGTTTTTGTTAATAAGGACCTAATCTATTTTTCTATGGCCATATCCACAAATCATTGCAGTTTTTTGTAGTTGACATCGTTGAACATTACACACAATAATATACACACATAATAGCAAAACAACGACAACGACATTTTGCAGGTTTCCTGAGATAGCATATGTGTAAAGCGCATTACAGCGAATCAAGGAATATACTCACTACATGATGAGCATCATCAACACAAGTTATTTATTGTGTAGTCACGTGAATAATATTATTACGATGAACAAGCAGTCAGTAAAATGTATACAATAAATTACGTTGCTAAAATATCAGTATGTTTTAATCAATCACTTTTGAATTTTGAATGGTAAAATAGAAGTTTAGTGATTTGCAAATGTTCAATGTTAACTTCTTACAATGGAAGGAATTCTTTCAAAAAATTAAAGTAAATCTCAACTGAAATCCTTGTGGTGTTTCTATTCTAGAAAACTTTACATCACATTACTAACATATTCTATTATTTGTTTTAATTAAACAATGAACCTAATATGTATCACAGTGATAATAAATATTACCATATGATATAGTGAGCATGTTTTTAATATAATATTGGTAGGGTTTGATATGAAATAAACAGTATTTATTTTGTTAATACTTTACTCACCGACCATCATCCAAATCGCATCCCATATTAATAAAAAGACAGACTCTCATGTTGGTTGTATGTAAGTATTTGTATGCAGTGCAGCTTCAACATGTGACTATACTAATATATTCCATTTCCTTCTGTGTGTTTTTTAAACCAATCGTTCCATTACATACATTACTTATGTTCCAAGTGACGCGTTTATTTTACAATTATGATTATCTCTCTTTAAAAGCATAGTCCATTATCCACGATGTTTTGTTTGTTTTTGAAGTATACATGATTTATTGGAGAGGTTTTAGTGGTAATTGTTAACGTCTTGTCATTGATTATATATGAACTGAGCCTTGATAAGGACTTTATCATAAAATGGTGCATGGTGTAATTCATTATAATTTGTATTGCTCGAAAAACCTCTTTTTTCAACTACAGTGAATACAGGGGGCCTTTAACAGTGACAAATTTTACATTCAGTTATTTTGAATTAAATGAAAATGGAATTCGCCTTTGATTGAATTTTACCTGTGATCATGAAAACGAAGCTAATGTGAAAAGAAATTAATAAAATGTCGTATGTATATAGAGGTAGCGGTCAAATCATAACAATACACTGCCTCGGTGAAAATTCATAAACTGACATGAGTCTTTGTGGCGGATTTGTAGTTGCAAGTTCGTTTATGCGACAACTACACAAGGGTAGAAGGGTCATAAAAGTGATTTGCATATGAAGACTCAAACAAACATGTTGACTTGGTTCCTTTAACATGGCAGCGACGTTTCTTTGAGCTGCTCAAGTAGTATTGAGAAGTAATTTGCCTGACGTTTAGTTTTGTAAATGTGTTCACCAGTGCATTACGTGCGTATTAAGGAAGCAATTATTTGCCGTAAAGTTCTCTTCATTGTAGAAACGATATGCTCTATTTAACAGCCATTGTTGTTATGACAACTGATCTGTTTCTCTTCACAGTAACTGAAGCAAGTACGGCAACGCCAGTATCAACAACTGACACTTTAACAACACCGACATGCGCAGAAGAGACCGTGGGCAGTTATGAGTGGCCAGCTACAGAGATAGGTGCAAACGCCACACTATTGTGCCCAGGAAGCACTGAAGGTAGGTATAAAATTGCCTAATGTGACATGCTAATATTATAGAGACGATACGATACGTTACGTACTTGATTAACGCAAACCAGACAGATTAGACTAACATGTTGAAGCCAGATATTTTCGTAATAAACGTTACACAACATTCACAGCCCTTATTTTTTCTAAATGTGATCATTTTATTTCACACTGGTCTGTGCCATGCGGTTAGATATTTTCTAATAATAACATGGCACTTTTATATTATATTGCCAAGATCTATAAATAAGGATACACATCTTTGATAATGTGACATTATTTTCGTATGTGTGCACATTTGTTAATGCTACAGTATAATCAATCTGCATTTCGTTCAATACGCCCAAGATATGTTGCGAATAGTTCTTTTTGTGCCAGGCGAGAGTTCCGGGCATTGAATGTCACTGTTGTCTCTCCTGACTTTTTTTGTGCATGTTCATATATTTATGTGTGGGACTACACGTGGGCTCTGGGGCCATCTTTCTATCAAATGGCAATTTAATGCGCTATCCTGGCATCAACCAGGCTCAGTCGAACACAAGCACCTGCGGACCTTAACCTGTGGCACACTCGTCCAAGGTAGCTTGAGGTTGGATTTTAACTTGGGTCTACCGATCATGAGTCTGATGCGACAACCACTAAGCTACCAGTGGCCGCTTACCATGTTGCGAATAGGTGACCACTTACTAACATTATTGCGCATGACTTAGTCAAAGTTTAATTGTAATCTGTCCTAAAAGTTCTTACACGTTGTCGTGAATTTGAATCAACCCAACAAGCAAAGTTCATTGACGTGATATCTCATGCCAAGCGAAGCGAATCTATCCCAGTAAAACCACAATGACCGTGGTAATAGTGTTTAATGATGCTATGAATACACAAATTCACAGGAACTTGCACTATTGTTACCTTCAATAAATACACTAATCTGAGTATATTTATGTGCATGATGCTTGGGAGTACAGACCAACCATATCAATGTCATGTACTCAAATTGCACCATGTGTCACATACATTCAGCTCATGTCAAATATGTGTGTACGTACAATGTGAATGCAAAACTCACGATGCCTAATAACCACTTTTAATTTACTCGATATAAGTACGTTGGAATACCTGGTTAACACATGACGCAAATCTGACTGTAGTGGTCTTTTTAGTCCCCGTAGTCCAAAAACGGGGACTTATGGTTTGCCCTGTGTGCGTCCGTGCGTCCGTGCATCTGTGTGTCCGTGCATCCGTGCGTCCGTGCGTCCAAGATCACCTGTTTGAAATGGCCGACTAGCGGCAATTTTGTTTTAAAGAATTCAGTTCTGGATTCGTATCCGAGATATGTCTGGATTGATCGAGTTCAAACTTCACACACACATGGTACATCGTGTCACAAATAGATATGTGCATTTGCTACATGATCCGCTGAACAATAGCTGAATGATGGCCATTTTAAGGCCGAAAATGCACCAAAATAACGTATTTTCACAATTCCGGAAGCGGATCTCAGTCATGCATGGATGGATTTTGTTCAGATTTAGTACAATGTGTTGTTCATATGCAGGTGCATTTTGGATTTGACCACTGAAAGTGGTCTGGGATTTCGGTCATGATCTGCTTTGAATGTATATGTCACTCAAATATGAACGGAACGGGGACGTGTCATTGACAACGACTTGTATACAGTTTGTTTTCGACTGTTCTGATATTTACATGAGTGTGAATTGTTGTAACTATAAACGACACTAAACAATTAAACTACTTCTTTGATATGGTTCAAACCACATAATATTAACACCATGTTACGTGACATTTATCGAAAGTACAACTACTGAATACCGAAAGTATTATCTTTTCACATGAACACAACAGAACCCCCTTTATCGACTATAAAACATTTCCGTAGTTACACTTTCAAGAGGGTAATTGGGATGTTGTCTGCAAAAACAACAAAGTAATCGAGAATCTTGAATAACATGCCCCCTGAGTATTGTACTGGTTTACCTGATTCATATTGAAACAAATAACATATTTAAGTTTTTATTGTTTATAAATGAGACTGACTGGTTCATATCAGTCGGCGCCAAGTAGTAGACTTATGACACGTATTGCAATTGAAGGGAACAGATCCGGACAATTTAAACAATAAACCATACACTTCAAAGTGGAAAATACATTTACGAAAGCGTCAGAGGCGCCATAAAGATCTTTTGATTAATACCCCGAGGGGTAAACAATGTCTTTAATTTATGTCATTAGGTGCCCTGCGCTCTATAAAAGACAATTTATCACATCCCATTTGCTGTTAAGGAAATGAAAACTGTAGCCCAAGGATGAAAAAGAAGAATACAGTATAAAACGTGTATTATAATTTATAAGAATAACGACAGCTATGCTTGAGAATTTCTTTATTACTATTCGATAAAATACAAAAATGGTCCTTAAAAACAGTTGATTAAAACAGCTGACATAACGACGGCTTATTGACTTTTTCGATCGTTGAAGCACGTTAATTTTTTTTCACCTGGCACCGACGATACGCCTGGTATTGGGCGACGGGAGGAAATATTAGCTCGGTTTCATTATTATGGTTCTTGGTAATTAGAAAACACGAATTGATTGTTAGATTTTTCTTGAAGCAATTATTTGAAACCGATGATACAATTCTTGAACACCCTATCTCGACTCAGTTGAAGTAATTAATTCTGGGAGATCATAATGCTATCATCCAATAAATTGGGTTGATATTTGACCACATCATGCTGAGATGCTGACTTCAGTACATGAGGGCGCAGTTCATTTGGTAGCACATGGTGATAATTCAGATTCCAGACTAACACCGAAATTGAATGTCAAATGATGAAGCCCTGTGCAATTGTTCCATGTTTTTCTATATATGTACGATATTTTCGCTACTGCTATGCCGCGTAACACAATAAAGTTCGATAAAGTGGTTTGATTGTACGTCCGCATAAATGAACGAAAGTAATCATCCAAACAAATGTGTGTAGACGGAGTAAATAGTAATACAGACTGTTTAAGTTGATGTTAATAATCAGTCGCCTGTGACGAATGCAAATAATTGACTTAACAATTTGTTGTCATGGTTACTGATAGTTTGTGGAGCAGCAATACCTTAAACAGGATATGCCTTACATAGTCGTCCATATTATTAGCTTTGCATCACCGACCCCAATCACACAATGATAAGATATCGTGTGCCCATATCGTTACTACATCAAATTATATTAACCAAGAAACACATACCTCGTTGCCATAACAACTGGCATGGTTACATAAGTGACTCTTCAAGGAGTCAATTGTAAAACAATTAAGTCTCCTAGAATCATGTTGGTTTAATGTTTTGTTTTTTTCGTGAATCTATAATTTAGCGCTAATAAATTTTGGACACATATCACAAAGTAGATTACATGTGATTACCTGTTTGTATATAATCACATTAACTCTTGCTCCAAAAAATTATCACACTAAACTGGAATTGCCGTCTTAGCTATACTATTTTAATCTTACTGTATCTTACTGTATCTTACTGTATCTTACTGTATCTTACTGTATCAAGGAGTAATAGGAACCTCGTATGGAATATTTTGGCGCCGTATAATATGTGCACGGGAAATGATAACCGAACGTAACGTTTCTAACTCATTATAACATGTTACACAATATATGTTTGTACCAACTCTCTCAACGTTTAATCATGATACTAACTTAAGGGGTGTCGAGATCTAGGTCAGAATTCACCCGCTGTGTGATGCGCATTCTATATTTCGTATTCAAATTTAAGGTCTGAAACTCGCTTCATGGACCATAGGCTTAGATGGGCGAGGCGCATGACAAAATCAACACAAATTCCAGTACATTGGGGAGAGGGCACTACAAACTATATACTATTTCCGCATATTATCAGAGTAAAAAAATAAAAAAAAAATATATGTTTTTAGTCGTATGATGAAATTGTAAACCTAGAAAAATTACGTATTTTTATATTTAGAACTTAACGTCTACGGTCACGTGCGTACTTTCTCCACTGACAACAATATGATTTTCTTCCTCCATTGCTCATTGAATTCTTCTACCTTCTAAGTAGGGACCAGTGTTATGACTGTTCAATCGAAATAGCTATGGACCAGCAATGAGTTTGAACAATGAACGATTCATGACAAAAACTTATGTTTACGAAAGATGAGACTTCAGAACACCTTTGTATACTGGATGGAGAGTTACCCAGCTCGAACTTGCATATTTGCAAGTCGGACGAATCTCGTTCGCAATTGATTCACTCCTTTACCTGAACTCTCGTCACCCTGTGGACTAACAAACAGCATCATGTCAGTCGTGGATCGGATCTACTGTACATTAGGAATAAATCTACTAAGCGTTGCACACTGAACTACTCCAATATTTTCAATGTATACACCCTTACCGCTCGGTAACGATTTCCGTACATATTCTAGCCTGCCAACCTATTGAGCTAATAGTCTACGATTGCTGAGTTCCCCAAACTCGGTAGAAATCCCGATCACAAAATCGCATGTTTCTTATTGAAAGTTTTCACGCAATATAGTCACACTTACGGCAGTAGTATGGTGTATGATGATTCCATGTTTTGATTAGTTGACCATACACCCGAAATCATTATTAACACTAGTGCTCAGTGTTATCTCGATTCAGTTGAAGAGCGGTGGTCGTTGCGCTGCGTCCTGATCGATATGGGACTCATAGCGACGTATACAACGCGTGTAAAATATATTGTTTATTTACATAAAATTCGAACACGCGCTGCGCGACGACCATGGCGCTTTAAATATTTAAGCCAGGTTATTCATTTTCAAAAATGGTCGCAGGACTTCCAGTGCCAGATATAAGATCTTACTTCAGCCAATCTTTCTGACTAACCATGCTATGATTTATTGTCACAACAAAAGCATTCATGTTGTTACATATGCCTTCTATTATGATTCATATAAGCCTAAGTTATTCGATTGCACGTGTTCGTTACATGAGAACACTTGCTTATTATCTCATGGGGTTCTTCTTGGTTAGCTGAATGATATATGGTTACTGTGGGTAATTCGAAAAATATGTCCCTTGACGTTACAGGCGATGTGTACCGTTACTGTGATAATGATACCACGTGGTCTATACAGGACTTTACGCGATGTAAATCAACTGTCTTAGCGAATTTGGAGCTTGAGGTAAGTCATACACGACACGTTTACAATTACAGCGGATTGAAGCGAAGAAGATACATTGTATTATACTATCTTTATTGTGGTTTACTTCTATTTTTAGGCACTTGACTTGGACGATTCGGCATCGAGTGCTCTTCTTCTTGCAGTCGATTTGCAGAATGCATCCAAACCGTCAAAACTGATAGTATCTGGTGATCTCGTGGCAGCTACCTCCATTTTATACACCTTGATAGAACATAGTTTACTTAGTTCGTGCAATACTACTTCGTCAATTGTTAAAAACTTTACGGAGGTAGGTTCAATATCTCAGCATTAGGGTCCGATGACATCATTAATTTAGGAATGTATTTTGTGGGTCGAATACTGGCGAGTAAACACAAATCTTTAATATTCTCTTGATTTTTTTGTTCCGAAGGCAATCTTAATGGTTACGAGTCAACTATTAGACGAGGATTATTCAAGTCTCTGGAACGAAGTACACCAGGTGGGTCGATGGACATTATAAACATTATAAATACATCGTAATACCGCGGGATGTTTGATTTCTGCAAACGATCTGACATGAACTGAGCTGTCCACTCATATGCTGTAAATCAAATAGTTCTGATAAATCAAAGTCGTAGCATTAAGCGAATCGGTTAAGCTTTATATTAAGGCTTGAACTATCCGCCACACTAGAACGATTTTTTTTTCCCAATTGAAATATACAATATTTAATTCACTTATTTATTATTTAAAATATTATCGTACCACCTCTGTTGAGAGCTCTTTTTTCTCATGTTACGTTATTCAATCATTTGAAGTTAAAGTTTATGATTACAATACAATTTAAAAGGCTTGATAATCAAACAATTCAACTTGTGTGGTAAGATACTTAAACTTCGACAATTTTGTGTAATAAAACTTGCTGCGCTAAGAGGCGTCGCTCAGATCTTCATCCTATTTCCTTTGAAGTATGATGACGACCTTTGATCGCTTTTTACGTCATTGGAACACTCCCACATTATTAGCATCTCATGAATAATTAATACAATGGTTCTTCCACGAATTGTGCCAGTCGAGGGGATTTTGCTTGTATACTACCTTATAACAATGTATTCAGTATATTTAATCAAAAAGTTGTAAACTGAAATAATTCTCCGACTGAAAGTCAATAAAGCGCATGTTAGTAAAGAAGAGTGTTCCTGCAATTTATATGGTTACTTGTAGCAGGCTTCCCTGTATGAACGGTTGTTTATCTTCACTCACTGTGAACAGTGTTCACGGTTGTTGGATTGCGGTTCAGTTATGCATTTAAGCAAGCGCAAACAATATTTATATTACGGTTAAGTAACACATGTATCCCAGCGTCAGATATAAGATCTTGCTTCAGCCAATCAGCTGACCAAATGTCTGGAATAACCATGTTATAATAGGTGGTTTGTGACAAGTGAAACTCCATCTGAATGAAGCTAATGATAAGACAGATTTAATTAAATAGAAAAATAGAACGTGAAACATGACAAACAAATGGCGTTAGCGTTATTTAGTGGTGTCAAAAAAGTGGATCCGAAAAAGATGAAGGTATTTTGGGTGTATTTTCACGCTTAAAAATGTATTATAGACATTTGTTGATGGTCAATTTTGACGAAGTAAAGGTAGCCGAACACAATGTTTCCACCTGACAAACGTTATTTACAAATAAAGGTATAACAAAACCCAAGTTCGACTCAAGTTGTACATTTTTGCGACAGTTAATCAATCCACAAAATTGCCAGATTTCGCAGTGAACGGAAATTTGTCTATTAGATATTACTGAATTTCTGCCTTGTTTTTTTTTTCAATTTCAGGTATCTGATGCAAACGCAGTTTTAAATTTATTACAGAAACTGACAACATTTTATGACGAAACTATTTCGTGTATGTCGAATATTGATATACACGAAGTACAATTGTCCACAGTAAATATGGGTAAGTCATTCAGTGACGTGTGCTTCATGAACGATCTTCGATCGAGCCTAAAATTGTCTCTTGTAATCGAACGTTCTCACTAGAAACCAAAGACTGGTATATTTTACATAATTTATGGACGAACGAGTTGAAAAAGTTTCAACCAAGAAACATGTCGTCAATACCGAGGGATACAAGAGTGAACTTCATTTAGATTGATTAATAATGTGAAACAAACACGTAGATGATCTACAGGGAAAATGAGATACAGTGCGATAAGGAAGGTGTTTGATGGTGTCCCATTATTACGTTATTTAAGAAAACGTTCTCAGAATTTTGAATATACGCATAGAACTGTTATTCTGTTTTAAACATAAGAAAAACTGATACACGTAGGTCAGGTCGAATTTTATAATTCACCACCACACAGTAAGCCTCGCACTTAATTTTGTTTTGCCATTTTCTAGCTTGCAAACATTTGCGTTACGGTGAGTGTCGGTGAGTGTCGCATACTTAAGCACGTCCAATTACGACGAAAGTGTCGCTTTATTAATTAACTCAATGTTTAGTCGTTTTCTTAATTTACGAGCTCTGAACTTGTTTCCCGATCGCCGCGGACTCGTAACATATGAAAATTACGCCAGTCGTTGATAGATAAACTCGATATCACACAGCCATAAACCAGAGATCATATTTATCGCTTAACCTAGCAAGAAAACAGTACGTGAATTGTGTTCGCGCATCTACGTAAAGTTAGCACGTCTCATGTCATGCTGACTGACTGACTAGACACCTTTGTCACTAAACATATATTTGTCTATGAGTAATCGATTTATATACTCACATTTAAAAAAAAATACATGTTGCGCGCATGAAAACCATTCGAATTGAATTGAATCCTTTTTTTAATATTCAGAATGTGCTGCATTTAGTTATGTTTAGGCTTCTATGAAGAGAAACATAAAATAAATAGATATATATGTTTATACCTTCGAGAGGAACTTTTAAAAGACAGTACGCATGGCATCTTAGACCTTTTAACACTGAATGCATTTTATTAAAAGCCCGCAGCATCCGTTGAAAAGAGAGTTTAATACGCGCCAGGAAATCGCATAGACGGCCTTCCTTTACTGCTATAAAGAGTAGGACAAAGGAAATGAAACACGAAGGTTCTGTATAAAGTGTCTCTAAATGTCGAAGCGAAAATAAATGTTCTATTTAATTGGCTTAACTTTTTTTTAATTCTTTATAAGCTCTCCGATGTTGTCAAATATATGTTTTTAAGGAAGAGCATGCACTTCTAAATAGGATAATATACGAATAATAGACATTGTGTCAATAGTAGGTTTTTACGAGTTTCATGTGTGTTTAATTCATTCGATTACTAGTATTTGTTTCTCACACTGGTGCTACGTATTGTGTTGGCTGCTGTGTTTCCCCCATCGACCTTCTTGTGCAGACTCACTCTCAATTGTGGAAGTCGATAACATTGCGAATTGTATTATGTGAATCCGCTATATACAGTCCGCTATTATACGCGTGCTACAAGCATTTTCTACTGTTCAACCCTTGACAGTGAATTTCTTTTCTTGCCTGTAATATAAAAAATATTTTGTAGAATGTTGGTAGATTTATCAAATTATAATCCAACAGCCAAAATATGTATTAGTGTTTTCCGGTAACGTTGAATAACACTGCTATTACTAAACGTTGTTACGATGGGTGACCGAGAATACTACAGTGCATTTTGTCATGCTCAGGGTTTGGAACTACGTGACAGGACTGTTTCCGAACCTTAAGACCATACTGCATGACGGAACCCATAATGAGCTATTTCGGCGTTAATAAACACAACTACCTTAACCAATACAAAACCGATTTTTCAAAATTTTTTAGTTGAGCGAATTAAGATAAGGACATGATATTGTATTATTATCTTAACAGTGGCATGTGTTTTTTTGCTTTTTATTAATTCAGACGCATCATTGATAACAGTTCCAGCTAATGCCAGCGGAAAATACGTTTACCCCACGGTCACAACTACCAACAACGACCAGGTGACTGTACCAATAGATTTACTAACTGAACTAGGTAACCAAATTAGTATTTCCGAGAATTCTATATTTGGTGTGAGGCTTCTTTGTTGCATTTAACTAACATTTGAAAATCATTCTGTCGGTAAGCGTATGTGTTTTCTCTGCGGGATATTGCTGCAAATGGATTTATGGCAGTTGAATTCTAGCCGGAAACAACAAATCTTGTTAAATTAATGCGGGTTTTCAGTTGTCTCTACAATATGGCTGGGTGGGGTGATGGCAATCTTGTGGTGATTAAGAATCGGAGAAAGGGATGTGGTATTATTCGAATTGGTCAGAAGATAACCCCCATACACTTTCATACACATCGTATCTGTATACGCATACGATATCTTAACATTGCTTTAAACCACTTTTCCACTGAGTTTCGCCAGCAACTGTGCAACCCGTACATGGCGTCACATCAAACCAGACTTGGATTTGGTAATTTTGTTTGGTAGTGTTATATTTCGTCATTTATATATGACATATAGGTGAAAACGTGTGACATGACAGGCGACTGCAGATCAGGAGAAAGTGTCGTCGCTGTTTGATATGCGTCTTTTACATCCACTTATGCCACAGAAACACTTCAAAACGGGAGAGCGCTATTTAAAAGGTTTATTGAAGAGACACAATCACAGTGTACATTCGTTTCGTGTGTATGTATTGCTTACTGTCGAATATAATCATGTTTTACTTAATCGTCAATGCAAATATTACAAATTTAACAAGAAATGTATAGAATCGTATGCAGCTATAAATAGACTCATTCTTTTTGTACCGACACTCACAGAGTTATATAAATACATGTATATGTTCAGTTAGTGAATATTACCTATATTGTATTTATGGGAATAATTATATATATTGTTTTGGGTGAAGTTGGTTATATGGGAAATAATATATAAACCACAATTAACCTATGATGAATTCAAAGGTGTATGTTTGTCTGTTCTTTCCATCTTTTGCACGCTCCCTGTATCATCATTTCTCATTAATTTTACTTTTGTAGCTCTCAATTGTATTAATTGCAACATTGCGGCACAACGATATATACATTTTTTTGTCATAAAGCAATTGTCCCTAATTTACATAATTAGTATTCCTTTTACAGATTCCAATAATAAATCTGGGTTGGCCGTCGTTATTTATCGTACCGTGACGTCATTATTACCAAGCACTGATTTGAACTCTAGGTAATTTTAATAATTGTGTATCACCATAGTTACATTGTACAATTGCATTAAGTCAATACTGTGTGGATTATATCATCGGTCTCGCAGACAACAAATTGTATCAAATACAGTATATCGACCGTGTGAAATACGGTGTATCATTCAAGTTGTCGAAAACATATATTTATCAAAAAAGATTATTAAGTACATACCGAAAAAGGTATATCGTCAGTATTGAAGACGCCATCCTCTTATCGAAAACATTATATCTGCCCTATAGAATACTAAAATTAAATTCCCAGGTCAGATTTGGTTATATCATAGCTCCATGGTTAGATAATCCACTCCGAATATATTATATCGACGTTATAGAAGACGTTATAGCGAAAATGTCGATTACATTATGTTAGCTGTGGCCAGATATGTGTCATGATTATATCATCCGGATCGAATGTATGTTAGCCGTGTCGAATCGAACATAATATCGGCCTTTAGTTATCGAATTCATTATATTGACCGTTCTTTATCGATCGTGTCGAATGAATAATATTGGCCGAACTCATTATATCAGCTGCATTGAAATCATTATACCAGGATTGTCGGAATAATTTTATCGGCCGTATGACAGACATATCGACGTAAGCGTAGCACATGTCAAGGTGCCGAAGTTATAGTTTTGTATTCGGAGTCCGCCTGGTAAAACAATGCTTTCCTCTCTTAGCTCTTCACCCGAGTATTTAATTTTGGGACAAGCTTGAAATCATTCAATCTTCATATTGATGCAGTCACTTAATATTGGAATGTCGATTTCAATGACAAAACAATTTGACTATGATGATATATCGTAGAAGAAATTACTTTTTGTGTGATACAGATCGACACTGTAGTCACAACTGCTTAAATATCAATGTCTCTGAGGGCGCCAATAGTGATTTATGTGGTATTTTGTCCACAGCAACTGAGCCACGGAATAATTACTGCGTGTTCAGTCTGAACACATCACCCACTGATCAAGCAGTATCTCAATAGCCGGAAATTACGAATCGGTGACGTCAAATGTCTACTATTTCGTAATCACAGTAATACATCATGGTTAAATTATTGCTTTATCTCTCCTAGACTGGCCAGTTCTGAAGGTCAACTGAATAGTGACATATTATCAGTGGTCATGTACCCGAGTCAAGTACAGCCATTAGAACAACCTATTCTGCTACAATATTCACATCTACAGTCAGCAACCAATCCGGTTTGTGCCTTGATGAACTATGCCCTCACAACAAGGTAATTCAATATAACACACGGTAAAGAGTTCGATTCACTTCTCCATTTAAATAGCTCGTCGCTAGAAAGTGTAGTGTATACCAGAAAAATTGTGATGACGGCAAGCGCTGACAATAGCGACAAAATAACAAGTAAAACTGCCCTCTAGTGATGAACATCACAAACGCGTTCACTATGTTTGTATCGTTCGCAGCTGTCCGTACCGATAGCTCTGTTCATTCATTCATTCTAATTAATTGTCCATACTGCAGCATTTGGAGTACAGATGAGTGCGAGACGGTGTCCACTGCCAGTGACGTCACATCATGCAATTGCTTTCATGCAACACACTTTGCCTTGTTAATGACTATAGAGGTGCGTGTGCAAAGTCGCAATTCCAATCAATTCAATATCGTTATTGAGACAATGAGATAATTTCAGATTTATTATTTTTCAAACATATTAGAAAAAAAAAAACACTTGCCTTGGTGAACCACTTCATTTGGTTTAGTCTAATTCATTATAAAGAATTGTTACAATCACTAGGTCGAAGTAGATCAATTGTTCATAAGATTAATTGTGCTAGTTAATTTCTCCACTGAATTCATCTTTGTATCTTTTCTCCTCTGCAGGATGGCTCTACAGTAAAAGTGCCTCTCAATTCCATACTAGTTGCTGGGGTTGTCGTCGCTATGTTCTTTCTACTTGCAACGTTTGTAATGTTACTCTTCGTAAATAGGTAATTCATTTATATACCAGCGTATAAACTAACTGATAAATTTAGTCTCGCGTCACATTTTTATTTCATACAATAGTATCATATTAATAATTGTATTTGTTATGCAGCTTTATACTCAATCATATATGTTTGAAGTTGTGTGTCTGGTTGTCGTGTTTTCTAATTGTTGACATTTTTTACTTCTAGGAGTTTTGAGTTTGATTGGGCCTTAGTTGTCAAATGTTTTTTATTCACAATGATGGTCAGCGATATAACATTCCTATCGGGAATAAATGCAACAGTCGATATGGTAAGTAGTATGATCTATTGTCAGCCATACAATCAACATGGACATTTGCTGGTATTTAATTCTAGCTTTGTTTTCTCAAGTGTATTGTTAGCATGCTGTTTCTGTATCCCTCAGTGTCGACCAGTGATTTTATTGAATTATGATTTACACAATAGATAATTATTTATCGTACAAACAAAAACATTTGTATTGGCTAAAACTGAATTACTTGTATGTACTATTACAGCATGTTTGGGTAGTTAGTACTATTTTATCGAGATAACTTTGTATGAGCTGCCAAAAGCAAAATGTGCGTTTGTTGTGTACGGTATATCACAACTCATAATGAAAACAATTACAATGAAAAACATCTACATTCTCCAATTAACTCCAATGTTGTATTATTTATATCCTAGATGATATGTCGGATGGTCGGCGTTATATTACATTATTTGTATCTATCGGTTTTCTTTTGGATGTTGGCTCAGGCGGTACTACTGGAGTTGAAGATCGTTCACATTTCGTCGGCATCTGCATCTGTTTTCCACTACTGCCTACTCGGCTGGGTTACACCCTTACTGGTAGTAGCAGGGGCTGCCGGACTGAAACACAAAAATTATGGGAACAGTTATTAGTAAGTCATGTTGCTACACGTTTTTCGACTTATTCCTCTAAGGGCATATTGCGTAATTTCTAGTATTCTAGTTATGAACTTTTTTTTATTCTGTTTCGCGCATTGCACCATAGTAAACATGAGGCAGAGAAGACATTTATTTCGGAAGTGAAATTTGTCGCATGTTTATTAGATAACACACAATAAAAATAATGACAGACTCACGTGATAATCGGAACTCACGTGACAAACCAACTGTATTCAACCCTGACCCTGACAATATACTATATATACAATATATACAATATAAATTATACAATTAAATCGCCTTGCCTGATAATAAAACAATATTCGTGTTTGATGTGCACATATAACACTAGTAATATGCCTATATTCATAAACCCGACAAGGAAGGACTTTTACGCTAACTGTGTACGTAACGTTTTTTATTACCAGTTGCTGGTTGAGTATAAATGATCCAGCTGTCTACGGATTTATTGGGCCAACAGTTTTTGTAATTATTGTGAGTACAAAATAAACATTGTAATGCTAGTAATATAGATGTAATAGTCGTTAATAACAAAGTAAGTGATATACAAACCAAAGGTGCATCTTATGTGAAAACTTCCTCTAGAAGGTAGAATGAGGGAAGAGAGGGGGAGTGGGAGGAATGGAGTTATAGAAGAAGGGAGCATATCAAAACTGTTATATTTGTCATAGATCATTTCGACAAAAAATATTTGTTTGATGATTAACAACTTCGAACGACATTCATCCGTACATAACCCTTTTAATACACAGTTTTCTCCGCATTATAGTAAGTACAATAATCCTTGAGTCAGTAAAATATGTGATTGATGTAATAATAATTGGCTATTTATAGTAACTCTTATTCCGATTAAGCTCTTGTAGATTATATACAAACTGATAATTCAGTATAGTTAAGCTACGGATAATCACAGATTTATCCCTCAGATTGCTTTGACTACGTGTCCATGTATAAAGTATGACTGAGTAATAGAAAACTCACGAAACCGAGGAATTACAGGTGAAAATCGCCGAGGGCCGCAATTCTGGAACAATTACGGGTAGAGCTGCAGTAGGGCTAACATT